TTCAGTCTGTGTGCATTGAATTTATTTAATACACAAGTTTCACAATTTGAGTTGAATTACTGAAATAAATTTATTTTTCCATGACATTCTAATTTATTGAGATGCACCTGTATGTAAGTCACAAAATGGATGAAAATGGATATTAGCAACATTCTGATACCTCAGTGCTCATGGTCAGTGTCATTTCAACTTAAATTATGCTATGAATTTATTTGAACTAGCATATGTATATCAACATATAAAATAGCTTCTATTGTTTGTCATAAAAAAGCATATAGGCTTAAATTGGTTATTTTAATGTCTAAAGTAACACCAGATGTTCTACCTCTTGCACTGGGTGACTCGTCCACTTTTTAGGCGTTCTTTTAAACAACCGGCTGAAAACAGCAGCTTTCCCCTGATAAATGAAGAAAATTTACATCCTACAAACATTTTCATCATAAAAAGTTAAACTATGAATCGGATATAAATATACACCATTTATAATAAAAGTCAAGCATACCTTCGGGTTATTGTTGCCTGATGGTTGATCATCGAGAGCCGACAGCTCACTCTCAGTTAGCTTGTTCTGGGAAAAGATTATTCTCAGAAACATGCCATTGCTATATTTACTGTATACTTTCTACATATAACTCAATCAGATTCTTCCTTGCAGTCTGCCTATATTCCAAAATGTTATTTATTGTAAAGCAGAGTCAATGCAGATTCAAAACAGTATTCTGAGAAATCAAACCATAACATCAACTCTCAAGTGCATTAAGAGAAAACATATTAACTGACCTTAATTTTGCTGTTCTCTAACAGACCGTCATTATTGCCCATAAGTTCACAATTCTCATCCTAGAGAAAAAAATTGTCAACTAACCATTGCAATTGAAAGCCCAGATATTACGAGAGAGTCTGGTTACATCAAACTAATTACCTTAGCGTGAAAGCTTCCTGTTCCTAAACCCTTAAACATGTACTGTCTCGCCTCAGATGAGTGCTCATCTACGTCTGAACGCCTGTACATTGAATCTGCTTTTTCCTGTAGCACAAGCAAAGGAAAAAACACAACACAAATTGGGAGGTTATTCATATACTGTATGTGGTTGCTAAAAAGTATTTGCATATTTAAGTGTGGTACACAATGACATATAATATTACTCACCTGAATGATTTGTTGTTTTCCTCTGACTTATTGTCACTCTGTCAACTTTCACACCTATGGAAGAATATTCACCATTATATCAATCCTACTTGGAAATCAGTTAATGCAGTTTTTTTTTTAAATGTCATGCTTTAAAATTACCTTGCACATATCTCTTTGTATTTTCTGAAAAGCTAATTTATTTAATAAGCTAATATTTACAATAGTCTAACACTATTTAGAATCATTCTAAAATATTGTACCATAGATTTATTATTATTTTTTACATACAGTCAATATCTTACATTCACACATAAACCTATAAAAAGAGTTTTCTCTCGCTTTGATTTTTTTATGCCATTCCCTAGTTGGTCATTCTCTGGGGTGGACTCTTTCGGGACTCATGTCCATGGATGTTATTCTGTCAGACCAGGCCCACAGAGATTAAAATTAATTATCACAACCAACTCCTTTCACAGGTTATGAAGAAATAGACAATCAGCTCCAGACATGTTTCAGTGGTTCATTAAATAATTCTTGACTTCCTTTAAGTGATTATAGTTCAAATAATATTTTCCATAATCATTTCCATAATAAATACTTATTAAATTATACATAACAAATGCTTAATAAAAGTGTTCTATTATGCTTGATTTATCTGCCCTTTCTATTCATTTAATTGCAGATTAAGTTGCAGATGCTCAACACACAATCATCTTCATTAGTAGTAAGACTAACTTATCTTTCCAGTGTTGATGCCGCTCTCTTTCTTGTTGCGGTCTTTGATCTTGTAATTAGCTGATGATGAATAAAATGCAGTGCATATCTGTAGATTTCATTGACGTGAACCCTGTTAAATTTGTATAGCACGGGAACTGAAGATTTTGTGGAGACACATTTATGTGGCAAAGTGTAAACGGAACCGTTTTAACAAATCAGATAGCTATCGAATCAGAGAAAACACATTAAGTGACCAGGTCTAAACAGGCCCATAGTCAGACGGATCCGGTCCGTATCCAGACCAGATGGTGGACCTGCACCCTGAGACGACCACAACGCAGTCCTGAATGTCAGCGAAGACCACGACAACTTGACAGCCATTGGCACAGATTCTCAGCAAAGGCCACAAGAAACAGACAAGTCCTCTGCACAGACCCATATGGCCAGCAATGAACGTGTCAGACCAGGAGCTGCTAGGACCACAATGCAGTTTTATCATGCTTACAGTCACTTTTAAGCCAGTTGTCCACTACTGGATAAACGGCAGCCCTGCTGGACAGACTACACTTCTCTTCCCACCAAATGCTGGTGTGACGTATCCTGATGTTCAAGCAGGAGGAGCTGGATGAAATATTCTGAATGACAGCAGTCCACAATCAGACTAGTTACGCAGCCTGAAATCATAAACACACCACTGAGCTAAGCTAACTACACCTGGTTTCTCCCAAGTTTTTTTTTTTTATTTCTTTCTCTGTTTCAGTCACGTGGTGGAGTCTGGGTTCCACTGTCACCTCTGAAGTCTAAAAGACACTGACTATTCAGTATTATTATTGATTTGGCTGATCTGACACTACTGCATGATGACAAAACTTGAACTGAATTGAGTTGGATTATGACATCACTGTTTTCTCCAGAGCTGCTTTATTGCCGAATCGACTTTCATAATTTATGCAACATTTTCACTGATATTGAACTTCAAATCAACATCAAGCTGACTCAAAAGTGATTAATGAAACTTTTGTCTGCTGTAGAATTCCTTAAAGCTGAACTGAACTAATTCATTCGTAAACATTAATTTGACAAAGTTAATGAACTGAATCAATACTACTGACTTTTTTTTAGAGCTTAAGTTTTTAAATAAATTAAACAATGTTTTTGGTAGTACAATTTATGGTTGCATTTTATTTTCCTGTAAAACCTATTCAATATATTTAGTCTGCAATTACCTACTTTCTCTTGAGTGTTTCATTGTTATTGGCCAAGGAAAGTTTAGATTTTTTTCAAGTTTTGAATGATTTATTTATATTAATACAGGGAGACTGCGCCTACAGATCCGTTGCAAGTGCCAGTGGACTCTGATACGGACCCGTTTTTTGGATCGGAGCTTGTGGTACCTCAAGATAGGAAGCACAGGATAGGAGTCAGTTTGCTACCTGGGATCCTCACCTCATCATTTAACCACATATCATCTCATTTAGGGGAGGTCTGCTTCCTGCTTCAGCGTTCCTTTTGGAATCATATGCGCTTTTTCATTTCCAACCACAATGCATGTATCATAGAAAACAATATGATGGAAAGTATTTTTATGAAGCATTGCGTAGGCAAGACAGCACAGGCAGGAGTGCACTCTAAAAAACAATCCCAAAGAGTGCCAGGCACTGACATCATTCATGACAAACAACTGCAAACAGTATCATACGCGGCGACAACGCCTCGCGCTCCCGACGCTTCTATTCGTTAAGATGCACTTTGGTGTGCTTACTTTTTATTCTTCCATTTTCAATGTTGAATTCTTTTTCTAAACTGATCGCCCTTTGTTTTTCCAGCGGATTTGTCTAGTCTCGGAGAAAGCGTCTGACCTTGAATGACAAATGGGAGGTCCAGCCAAACACAAGACTCTTCTATACCGAAACTGGGCCGAATAGTTTATTTAATAAACATGCAGAATTGAGAATCGTGACGATATTTCAACGTACTGTTTTGCCTACCTTAGGTTCCCAGAAAAACGGCCTGTCAAAACTTTGTCAAGCTCCACCCGGTAAATCTGTGTTGAGTGAAGACAGAACAGCGGGGCTGTTTAGCAGGGTGTCAGTATGACGACAGCGAGCCACTTCCACTAAACAAATGATATAATACAAGGCTGTTTCTTCAGACACTTTTAGCACAGGTATTGAGTTTTATTATAACAAATGTTACCTTTTTTGTTACATAAGGTAACATTAAAACTGCCTTGAAAACATTTTAGAAAACCCTCATAATATATTTTAAATTCAAAATGAAATAAGCACAATCCATTACCATATTCACTGTATGAAAATGCATTATATCAGTCAGCCATCAAAAATGTTGGCCTTAATGTGGACAGACAGGACCATCAGTGACTGATAAATATTTGGCAATGAGAAATTTGCAAATAATCAAATGTAATAAATAATGAAATAACTAGCATTCATTATCCGTTAAAAAAGGGCTGTCAAACGAAAATAAATCCAAAATAAAGGTTTGTGTTTACATAATATGTGTACTATGTATATTAAACACACATATACATATATATATATATATAAATACACACACGTATATTTTACAAATATTTATATGTATATTTACATATATCATTTATATATTATATAAAAATGTAAATATTTCATATATAAATATTTTTCTTAAATATATACATGCATGTGAGTGTACTTCTATACACATAATAAATATACACAGTACACACACATATATTATGTAAACACAAACTTTTATTTTGGATGCGATTAATCGCAATTAATTATTTTACAGCCCTAGAAAATACACAAAATAACCCCCTCCATTCACTTACCATGGTGGGATAACCGTGTGTTTAGGACCATATAGAACATATATTAGATGTTCAATTATACAATTATACCCTAACAAGCAGTGGAAATAAAGTAATAAAAACAAGTTAAGATCCCAAATTTCCTCTTCTGTCGAATAAGGAAAGCCAGTATAGTTCTATAACCATACAATTTTATATCATCTATTGTGAATGTAATAATAAACTCAGAGGAGTGTTTACAGAGGTTTGTCAAGATGGTTTGTCTTCTTTCAGAGTGGTGGTCAATCGCAACTCATCTCGGATTATGTTAAGTTCCATCAAGCCCTCATGTAGCTGATCTGCCACCTCTCTAATCTTGGCAGCAAATTCTGACTTTGCACCATTTTTCAGTTCATGGGAGTCCTTGGCCACAAAATAGATGTCCATCCCGACAAAAAGCCCCGTCAGAACACCTGTGGATATACTAGCGATCTGCACAGCACGTGCCGCAGTGGTTCCCGCCGCATTGGCTATCTGCATCACACGCATAATTTCATTGGCATTGGTTAGAATAGCTTTGCCCGCCATAGCGCTGTCCTCATAGATATTGTCAAAACAAGGGAAGTCTCGATTGTATGCATTGTTCTTCATCTTATTCAGGTTGAACTTGCGTAGGTTTGTAATGCCTTGCTTGATGAACTTCATGCACTTGTTAAGGTCAGCCATCTTCGCCTGATAGTCTTCCACAATGCGCTCTACCTTTCTGCGATCCAAAGTGTTGTTGACGGTACTGGATATCCCAGCGGATGCAGAGGTAAGACCACCTGCCATGGCAACACCCAGGCCAACTGCAGTGACGATCAGAGAGGTTCCCATTGTGAAAGGTGCTAAGATGAGGCCAGTTATGGTAGCAACACCTCCCACAGCACTGGTGGAGCCACCAGTGATCTGGGCAATCTTGGTTTTCTTGTTGAATCGGTCTAGGCCATCAGCAATGGCATGCAGGTCGATCACATGCTGCCACAGTCCTTCCGCCCGTTCTGAGAAAAGTTTGTTAAACACTCGTATGCCCTTTTGCACCTTTTCAGCTGTTACAGCAAAAGCCCTGAGCAAAAGACAATTGGTCAGTCAAATTCACTTTGTCATGTCACATGCACACAGAATGAATTGGGACTTACTTGGCTTCCTCTTTCTCTGTCATGTTGTCACTTTTGGGCATGTCTTCCCATTCTGATTTGGAAAAAACAAAATGGGAGGAAAATAGCTAAAGATGAAGGACCATCTATCAGAACCTTTTTAAAAATAAATTGCTGTTAACTAGATTAAACTAGTAAGTATTGGGGGGTTGTTTCTAAAAGTGGACAAACATGGCAGGACAAACTCACGCTCCACAGTGTTCCACCAATCCATGAGGCCATCAAGATCCTGTGACAGATGCATTTAGGATAACTACATTTTTTTTTTTTTTTTTTAAAAAACAAAAAAAAGGATCTATATTTATAGAACCAACCTCCTCATCCTCTCTCTGAGTTTCACTTAAACGGAACTCATCCAGCCATTCCATGAGGGACTTCTTGTGGCCTTTAGTCTTAGGGGGGAAAAAAACAAAAACTAATGAGGCCATCAAGATCCTGTGACAGATGCATTTAGGATAACTACATTTTTTTTTTTTTTTTTTTAGAAAACAAAGACAAGGATCTATATTTATAGAACCAACCTCCTCATCCTCTCTCTGAGTTTCACTTAAACGGAACTCATCCAGCCATTCCATGAGGGACTTCTTGTGGCCTTTAGTCTTAGGGGGGAAAAAAACAAAAACTAACAAACCAGAAAGTAGATTGTGTAAAGGGGAACTTGAAGAGAAAATTCCAATGCAGAAACCAACATAAATTGCAGAAGTTGTGAGACAAATAGGAAGGTAGTGTGTTTGAGTGGTTTTGTTTTCATCACAGGTTGCAAAAATTTGCTGTTGCAAGCTGAAATATTTTTTTCCTTGAGTAAAAAAAAAAGAAGTTTAATTTTTAAAATAAAAAATACAAAACTAATAAAAAAAGAGAGAAGCACAGAATGCTTCCTTTAGAGACAACTTCTCTTTTTAATGCTTGCAGACATTTAGAATTCCACTTTTGTGTGCAACTGATTGTTAGGCAAGCCAACGCACGGCTCATTTATTGCCACCTGACCTGTAGCGTAAAACAGTTTATGAAGGCCTCAGTGGGGTTTTTATATTTAGGATACCACATCTCTCAGTTCTCATTCTTTACCTGGTTGAGTCTTGTTTTCAGTGTCACAAGAGTTATTTGAGTTACATGATTAAAAGAACTGCTAGGACATTACAGCACCTCTGCAAGGTCACTGCCACTGTCTTCATTTTGGTTTCCATTCTTCTTCTGTGTTCCTTTGTTCTGAAAAAATAGCACATGCTTCCATTAACTAACAACTGTGAGGATTTTAAAAAAGTAAACATGACTATTTATTTTTTACCTTTGCGGCAACCTGGGGCATAAATGGATTTCTGGGTTTCTTCTTCTGTCCTTTTTGCTGTGAAAATGTCATATGGTTTAAAGCCGTTCAACTGGGATGAAGTCCAGATCACCCGTTTTGGTTCTCTGGAAACTCGTAATGGTAAGGTCATCAGTATTTACTTAAAATGGTAAGATGGGTGCTTACTTTTGGATTTTGCTCTTCTCCAGGTGCCTCAACCACTGCGGCAGGCATCTTTTCTGGGATCTCATTGCTAGCGGCCTGTAACGAGGAGCAGAATGCATATAACCCAAAGCGACACGATCCCATTCATTTCAGTGAAGAGCTGGCAACACGAGCGTCAGCGACTGTTGGCGACCGGATAGGGTGTGTCCAGTGACACGACAAAGTTTAGAATTCTTCAACTTTATGCAAATGAAGAGCGACTTTCGGGAGCGACAGCCAATAGGAAAGAAGACGGTAGAGCTTGTGATCTTTCTCCTCTCAGCTCAGGCAGTAACGGAGAGATGGAGGAGAGGATGTTTGTGTTTTTACCGTAGATAAACATGCGCAATGGAAAAAAAGCAGGCTCTGTTTCTCATTCATTTTTGTTTTTATGTACGGATTTATATTATATTATATTATATATTATATTATATTTAGTCCAATATGTTTCAAGCGGCAACCTTCCAGTCTCTCTCATGAAACCAACACGGAAGTGACCAAAACTGCAATTCATCACCTGGCCGCTAGAGGCTGGCTACAAAAGGGAGTCAGTCCCATAGACTCCCCACGTTAAAATGCCCAATTTTACAGCAGAAAATATGTGTTTACAGCCTGGTGCAAAAAGTGGTTTTGGTCTATATAGCGAATTCTGCCCTTCATGACAACTGTGAGGGGGGTGAATTTTTTATAACTTTAAATTATATTAACCCTTAAAGTTCTGCATAATTAAGGGCGTGGCCACATGAGTGACAGGTGGATTGCCGCTGCTCACCACCATCGAGCTAGGTGGGCGTGGTTTCAGCAACCATCTCCCGCCTCTTTGCCCATTTTCGATTATCCGGGAGTGACGTGCGGTAAAGATGGCGACGGCCTGCTCCGCCCACTTTTGAGCTTCAAAAACGCTCTTCAGAATCCTATGGGTGATGTCACGGACACTACGTCCATGTTTTTATACGGTCTATGATATGTTTGTATTTAGCGGCAAGAAAACCGATTCGTTACTAGGCAGCCAGTAGAGAGAACACCCACTACGACCTCATCGCCTCTGGCGACATGCAGTTGCTGCTAGTGTGCACGCAGCTTTAGCCTATGATTCAGAAATAACTTTAAAATTGTGATTATCTAGCCTGATTCGTTACTAGGCAGCCAGTAGAGAGAACACCCACTACGACCTCATCGCCAGCCTCTGGCGACATGCAGTTGCTGCTAGTGTGCACGCAGCTTTAGCCTATGATTCAGAAATAACTTTAAAATTGTGATTATCTAGCCTATGATCTGTATTGACAAAAAAATACAGAATGCAAAAAATGACAGAATACAAAATGATAAACTAACAGAAGTGCCATTTAAAAAAAAAAACTTTAGTAAACCAGTCACGGTTGCCAGACAAAAAAGCACTATTTGATGCACGCTTCAGACGAGTATTTAAATTGTAGCCTTGCAATTTGCTTTATTATTGAGCTACTTTATTCAACCTCTGCTAGATGATCTTACACAACAATTTGAGTCATATCCCACCCAGCATTCTGATGTGCATGTAGGTACTTGTCTTTTATATTTGGTTACTGCTATTTAGGCTAGGCCAATTAAAAACCAAAACGTATTGCTGAAAAAGCCCAAAGGCATGTTGAAATAACAGCTTCCATACCAAGCTAGACTTGCACAAGATTCCTAGATGAACAGCAGCACCTTAACCAGTTTGTTACAACATGTTTTCAATGAAGCTCAAAGTTTAGGGGTGATGTCTGAATATATAAACCTAATCAAGTGTTAAAGTCTTAAAGAAAAATACATAATAATAATTTTAAAATAAATATAATAATACTATAATTTTCATTATAAAATATTATAAAAAGAATAAAATAAAATAAAATGTACAATATACATTTTAGGTAGTCAATATACATTTTTGTTAGTCAAAGCAACAGCAGTTAAATTTTGTTCACATTATAAACCAGTATAGAGATGAATGGTTGGCTCTCAACATCAACTTGCTCGTCTTTATCTAAACCAGAACCTGTATCCTGGTATAAAAGAGAAAAGTGCATTTTTGACAATAAACATTTGATTAAAATGCCCTTGTCTTTTGAGATTCACTGGATTAAAGGCAGTTCTAACAGCCATCCAAATATGTAAGTAATAAATAGGAGCTTTAATATATGTATTTAGCCGGCAAATCATTTACAAAAATGAGTTGCATTGTTTAAAAAAAAAAAAGTATGCCCACCTGCTTAGATTTTGACTGTTTATCGTCAGGTTTCTCACAGGGTTCCAAGGACTGCTGTGTTTTTTCCATGCCCTGCTGGGGAAGCAGATGCCTTCCTATTACAACATGTTTTATCAGAACTAGTGAAATTACAAAAAATATCAAGTATGTGAAATATTCAGTAAGGTTTAACTAACACACAAAAAACACACAATACATGAAAAAGTGTCAGTTAAGTGAAAGTGAGAAAAACAGAGTATAGACATGCAAAAGGCAGACAAGGTAAGACTTACTTCAGTAGTGGAGTGATCGCCACAGTTGTCATCAGTTTTAGAAAGTTCTGTATCCATTATGAGAATGTCCTAGGAAAGGATCAAGAAAGGAAAAAACAGGAATATTAAAGTCAGACCGAACATCATCACATGCTGAAGATTTGCTTTAAACTGAGAGGTCATCCTAAGACAGAGGAAGAAAAGGCTTGTTGTTGAAAAATGACCATGAAACATTATATGCTGCAGGGCAAAACAGACCACAGAACAGCAACTTCTGCCATTGTATAAGTGTCTACTATGCTCACCAAGGCTGCATTTATTTGACAAATATAGAGTAAAAACAGTAATATTGTGAAACATTTTTACAATTTAAAATGTAATTTATTCCTGTCATGGCAAAGCTGAATTTTCAGCGGCCATCACTCCAGTCCTCAGTGTTACATTGTTCAGAAATTATTCTATATAAATCCAGTTTATTGTGAGATTATAAACCATATTATGCATGCATGTACATGTATGCACTAAACCGCTTTAAGCTGATTCAAGTTGAATTCTGAAACACCTATGTAAATCATGGATATTGAGGACAAATATAGAGGTGACAGCAAGCAATTTGAGAAATGAAGTGTCAGTGTAATTAGTGTAAATGTAATTAGGCTGTTAGTTAGTTAGCTAGTCATGCTGCCTGCCTCAGGCAAGTTTGTCAACAATCTGCTAGAGTCAAGACAAATCACGGGATTTCTGACAAATACACGCATCCATACGACCATGCATAGTTTCCTGAATATGCCAGTGCACATATTAAAGTTTGTAACGTTACAATTTAAATAAACAACACAAAAAATGTAGTCGTTAAAAGTTTGAGCACCAAGACATGCGCTACTTACCGCACACCGCCACTTCCCTGAGAAAAAAAAACAATGGAGCAGGGCGAGAGGAAAAATAAACCTGTGGAATATCTATGAAATGAAAGAAAATTGTGTACTGTAAACTGTTTCCATGGTATTTTCTACTGACACGCAATACTTGTCTAAACAAGTACAACTGTTGTCTTGCAGTCTGAAGTAGCGAAATGTTATTAACGCCGCCCTTTCTTCCCGTGTTTGTTGTGCCTGTAAATCCATGGCCGGCAGTCAGGTGGTGCCAGTCAGGCTTTCTTCACTCACAGACTGCTGGTCAGGGTTATAGTGTGCACAGTAAATATATATATATACAGTTGCAGGGCTCTCAAGTTTTATGAAAAGTTTGGAGTGAAATTACATCTGTTAGGGAAGGAGCCACTCAAATATTTGAAGCAGCGGCCCCACCCAATTCTCACAAGTTTTTGCTAGTCAATTTTACTTATTTTTCATAATTGACCAGCACTAATTGAAATGATAACAATTGGTAAATCTGATAAAAGACAGACAAATTCATCTAAATAATATACTTTTTTTTTTTTATATAGGCCTATTTCAAAAATACAAATGTATCAAAAATAAAAAGAAATTTGGCCCCAAACAAGCCAACTGAACAGCAGTGCTCAATGTACATACTGTCCACATACAGCAGGATCATACAGTAGGATTGGAAAACATGTGTGTGTTTGTGTGAGAGAGAGAGCGGTGTTGGGCGATATGCTCCATAGTCATATTGTCCTATCGTCAGCCTGTGAGATCGCCGATACACGATATTATCATTCTAATTAAAACATTACTCCAAATAAACCAACTCCAGGTTACGGCTAAAAGCAACCTAATGTTAGTGTAATCTATTAACTATACATTATATCAGTTTAGTCAAGTAGCATATGGATGTCGTGTGATAAAATATTTTTAATATTACTGAAATTGTATTTAACATGATGACAATTTAATAGAAACATGGTCAGTTACTAATTATAATGCTTATATTTACTTAAGATATTCAAACAACAGCTACAGAAAAAGAGCGAACATTTACATTATCAAAGAACATCATCATTGACTTCAGTCTAGTGCGAGTTTATGGACTTTTTTTTCATCCCGTTATAATCATTGTAGCTATCTACACTGTATGATGAATAAATCTCTTATACTTACATCGCACATACATCTGCCAAACATACTACTGTTCTTTTTGTTATTGTAGTTTTCAATTCTGGAGTAACAATAAATAAAATTATGTAATGATATTTGTAGAACAGTCCACAGGCTACTTTACTTGGTCGGTGGACATGGTTTCCAAACGAGGTTTCTCCATTCGCAGGTTCTGTCAGCTTAGTCAACAAATTCACGTGTATTGCGCTGCCCACAGGCAAGCTTATACAGCGACAGTATTTACGACACTGGTAACAGACAATTGCGCTTATCAACCATGAGGGAACCGTAAGCAAAAGTTACATGGTGTTGCTTCAAGTTTGCACTGCACCTGTTGGATGGAGCTGAACCTCAGAACCTGAACTCAACTGTCCTGCATATGGTTATGTTCCTGACACTCCTGGACAGTTCAGGCACCGGAACTGTTTTAAAGGTATCGATTTGGCACCGGTATCGAAAAAAAAAAATGATACCCAACCCTAATGAACATATCAGTGCCATCAGAATGACAAGTCTAATTTGTTCACGAGACAGTAAAAATGTTTAGCCACGTTGTAAATATAACACTGTACTCTGTTGATGTAAACTATGACGATCATTGAAAATGCACAAGACTGAACTTTATCCACATACGAACTATGCCAGCAAAAAAAACAAACATACTACTGTTCTTTTTGTTATTGTAGTTTTCAATTCTGGAGTAACAATAAATAAAATTATGTAATGATATTTGTAGAACAGTCCACAGGCTACTTTACTTGGTCGGTGGACATGGTTTCAAAACGAGGTTTCTCCATTCGCAGGTTCTGTCAGCTTAGTCAACAAATTCACGTGTATTGCGCTGCCCACAGGCAAGCTTATACAGCGACAGTATTTACGACACTGGTAACAGACAATTGCGCTTATCAACCATGAGCCCCACACAAAATAAGAATTAATTGTTTTTTCAAATTATACATGTATCAGCTTTAATGTAGAGACCTGCACTCCCGCGGTACTCAACAGGGACCCAACGCAACAAGGTGCGATGCGGGACAACTCTTGATGGGCGAGTGTGGGTGCGGGCGGGAAGAGACTCGTGTGTGTGCGGGATGCGGTAGAATAAAATCTTTTTTTACGGGACTCCCGCAAAATAGAAATGATCTAAACATAAAATGTCTAAAACATATAAATTGTTATTTATCTGTTGCACAAAAGTAAAAAAGAACAACTAATATTAACATTAAAATGATTAACATGTGCAAGCTAGGCAGAGTTTCTATTTATAACGTGTTTAAAGGGTTGTGCAATGTAACCAATCACAGACATAGCTGTTGATTTCTGGAACGCAGTGGCCAATCAGAGGTGATTACGTTAGAATCCACTGAGCAGTGCTGTAATTGCGTACTCACGAATCCTCGTGTAGACATTGTGAAAGATTCATTGTGCATATGTTCATTGTATTATAATAGAGCTTTATGAGATCGCGATGAACTGAGATGTCAGATTTTAGTGATAATAAAGGAAGCGCTGCTCACATTCTGACATGCCAAACCATGCACGCAGCAGCCCAGGCTTGCTTTTCTGTTAAAATAACAGTGGTTTGTGAATGTTGATGCTTAGCCTAAATAACAAATATTTTATCGGAAGCGTTTATGCTGGGATGATGTGGAGCTTAGGAGATGTTACAGAACCATTTAATGTAAATTTCTTCTTACTGAAAAAATCTATATAGATTACTTTTATGTGGGCGGGAGCGGGACAAAACATGAATGTTGCGGGCGGGAGTGGGACCAGATAAGACATTTTTCTGTGGGAGCGGGACAAAATCTTGCGGGAGCGGGACAGAAAAATCCCTCCAGTGCAGGTCTGTACTTTAATGCACTTAAAATTAAGTCAAATGTCAAAATTTTCATGACAAAAGTAGTATTTAAAATGTATCATGGAAGTGGAAAATATGTATTATATTTTATAAATAAATGAGCTTTTTTCCCCACAAAAGCTGTAATTTTTTGTTGTTGTTGTTTGTATGTTGTAAACACCCACACAAACACTGATCAGTACATTAAAACAGGTGTACCGTTCTGCACTGCTGCAGCTGTGATCCAGCTGCTGATCTGTGCCGCCCTCTGGATTGCAGCTTGCCTCTCCCTCTGCTGTTCCTCACTCAGCTTCTTCTGCTGCTGCTGCTCTTCCTCCTTCTCCTGTTGCTGCTGCTGCTCCTCCTGCTGCTGCTCCTCCTCCTGCTGCTGCTCCTCCTCCTGCTGCTCCATAATCTGCATGTCCTCCTCTGTCTCCAAGTCCTCTAGCCGCTTACCCACTGCATCTTCACAAAAGGTTATGAAGTGAGAGCCACTCGGATACAGAGAAAACTGAAAGAGATAATTTCAGATTATTAGTTTTCACTGTCAATTTCAATATCACACGATAATGACAGATTTTTAACTTACAATGAGGCCAAGGTACAGTATGCCCTTTTTCTGTCCCAACAGCCAAAAGCTCTTGTTATCATTCGCCATGACTCCGAATAATCTGCATGTCCTCCTCCTCCATAATCTGCATGTCCTCCTCTGTCTCCAAGTCCTCTAGCCGCTTACCCACTGCATCTTCACAAAAGGTTATGAAGTGAGAGCCACTCGGATACAGAGAAAACTGAAAGAGATCATTTCAGATTATTAGTTTTCACTGTCAATTTCAATATCACACGATAATGACAGATTTTTAACTTACAATGAGGCCAAGGTACAGTATGCCCTTTTTCTGTCCCAACAGCCAAAAGCTCTTGTTATCATTCGCCATGACTCCGAGGGGACGTACCTTGTTTGCCCAGCTACAATAAAACACACGTACTGAACATTCACTTTTTATTACACAGTGAAGGAATATTATTATTCACTATGCACTGTGCCACCTTCCTTGGAAAAATACTTAACAGAGGAGCACAGGACAGTTTTTACATGTATAAAAAAATTTGGTGTTTATTTACGTATAAGCTTCTTTGATGCGGTCATTAGTAGAGATCATATTAATGACTTTTCCATCCATACATACTCCAAACAGACTGCCACAGTAGAACAAAAAGCTCACAGGAAGCTCTACTTTGAATGAAGACACCTTATCAAGCCTGGAACAAAATAAAATAATAACCTATTATTGGCAGATAATAAAAACCTGTTTAAATTTAAAACACTACAAAAAAATCATTTTGAATTTGAGTGAAATGTAAAGTAAATTTAGAACATTATGACAGTATTAAAAATTTTATATTTTGAGATTTGAGATTGAAATTCGTTAAATTATTGAAGATTTTTTAGATTAATTTAAAGTGATCCAAAAAATACAATATTATTATGAAAAAACTAATAATATTATTATGTGTATTTATTAAATAATAATATATATTTTGGCAACATGTTTGCAGAACTTAAAAATGGAAGTGAAAAGGGTTAAAAGTCATTACCCCACAATGCACTTCTTGGAGTCCCGCTCAAGCTTCCAGATACATACAGAGCAGTCGCTGCAACCCACCGCCAGCTCATCATCCAGCATCCCAGTGACTGCATGTAGGACACCATCACTGACCTTCAAACAACACACACAGAGCCATTCACTGACATTTCCAACTGAAAGAGTGAAAAGAGCGCTCACACTGTATATTTACTAACTGAACAACAAATAATAATATCAGTTCCCAACCCAAGATTACCTTCTTCCAGTAAACCACTGAATTCTGATGCCATATCTCTAATCTGCCTGCATCATAACCACACACCATGAGTTCATCAGTACCCAGGAAGCACACAGATCTGACACTGCCCTTCTGGCAGCGAGGAGTTTCTGTGGATGAATGTATATAAAAAAAAAGGTTTTAAGTTATTAATACCAATCAAATGCTAAGTTTGAATGCACTGCTGTAGTTTCACAAAAAATAAATGTTGCGATTTTTGCATCAATTTAGATTCTGCTTTTTTTGACCATTTTGTCTTACCCATTGCTGTGGTGACGTTCCATGACCTGAGGGAACGATCAGCTGAGACAGTGAGAAACTCCGGCAGTCTGGCATCTTTGCTCACTAAAGCTTGGATTTCTGCACTGTGACCATGCAGAGTATTATGATGCTGTACCTATGAAAACAACATTTTTGAGAATAAATTAGGAATTACTGAGAATTATTTTCATTTTACGGCCAATAAAAACAAATGGCAGATATTAAAATTCTATTCTATATTGTCTAAACAAACTAAAAATAAAATACCTTTAAATTTTAGAAATGAACTTAGGCATCACAACATTATAATGTACAGTATGAAAATTGATATTCCTGTTCAAATTTGTTATTAAATTAGTGTTTTTTTAAAGATTAACTTTAAGTGAGCATTTAATGACTGCAAAGATCATCTGGATGTACATAAAAATATGGGAATTATTTAAATGATTAAATGTCGAATATCTATGTAAGCCTTTCTATGAAAGGTAATTAATTATGACTTTATCTCACAATTCAGACTTTTTCCCAATTTTAAGAAAAATGTGTCAAAATTGCAAAATGTAAAATCAGACTTTTGACTGAAGAAGAAAAAAAAAAAGGGGGAAAAAAATCCAAATTATTAGATTAAGTTGCAATTACCTAAAACAAGCTTCCATAAATAACTGACTGACTGATGACCAGTATGGAATCAATATATTATGCATTCCTAGAATTAATCTCTGAGGATTATTTAAAATATCTGATTTTCAATCAATTCTTTTTTTGTTTTCAAAGTATGTCATTAAACATTAAACTATTGATGCAAAGCATTTAGTTGGTTACCTTCAGCGGATGCCAGAGTTTAACAGTTCCATCTTCTGACGCTGAAGCTACCAGCAAGTCTTCCGGTTTAACATTTTTTTCCAGATCTGTGCGCAAAAGAATTGTTTTGCTAAGATTTTTTTTTTCTGTGTAAGCAAGACACATCGATATTTAGATATCAGGCAGCTATTTGTGTGTACATGTGTGTATTAGTCACTGAACCTGGCTGAAAGACGACAGTGCAATGATGGATATGTGACTTGTGGGCCTGAATCCTTGCGATTTCTACACCTGATTCCCACTTCCAAACCATCAGCAGTCCGTCTGTAGAGCCTGCCATTACATGATCCTCCTAAAGACATTAAAAAGTACATAAATATAAACAGGTTCCACTTTGATGTCTTTGCAACATGGCGCAACTGTCTTACCCAACAGCACAATGTGTTCAAAGATGAACTAGAGAGGATTTCTCTCAGCAAACATCCTGTCTGGATATCCCACATCCGCAGTTTACAGTCACTAGAGCAGCTAAGCTGAGGTGAAAGAGAAATTTTGTATCCGGTTACAGACACAGAGTTAGGTGTTCACGAAAGAGCACTTGGTAAATGGCTTTCTCACCACAGCAGATGATG